GAAAAAGTATATTTTTCTGTCATGTGCAACGACTGCATTGACTGGGTTCTCAGCCAGAAAAATTCAAAAGGCCCCAAACCAGGCAAGGTTATAGGTTATATACCCCCAGATGAATGATATAGAAAGCTAAGGGAAAGATAAATCAAGCTATAACTTTTACAACAGGAATGTAACGTGTGATATACTATAGGATGATCTTATAATGGCTATTCCAGGATCTCTATATTCTTTTCTACTACTTTCTATCTAACCTATCCTGATGATAGATATTAACACTATGTATCATAAACAATATCTTTACTATGTCCATACATTCCACCCTTTACACCAAAAGAAACACAAAAATCTACTTTCTATCTTTTTTCTCTCCAGCATCATCAGGCAGACTCTTGTACTTCTATGCCTTCCCTCATGTTTATGTCATGTACAATACTCATATTCTTTATATCACCTCAGTTTCTCTGTCTGCTTAGTACAGAGAAGATACAATCAATATGAATCACATTATTCACAGGATAAACCAACCCCCATTTAATTTAATGTACAAAACCACACATGACTCTCAGTTACAGAAAACCACAGCATGATGTTGGTGGGTTTCTAGTGGCCCATACTGACCCGAGGGGAAACCAGTTTGGTGTAGCAGTTAAGGTGCTGGCCTAGAAACTAGGAGACAGTGAATTCTAGTCTTGCCTTAAGGCTGGAAAGTCAGCTGAGAGAATTTAGGCTAATCACTCTTCTCTCAGACCAACTCACCTCATGGGATTGTTGTTGTGGGAAAAATAAGAGAAAGAAAAAGGATTATGTATGGTTGCTGCCTTGAGTTACTTATAAAGTAACGAGGGACAAAATAAATAAATGCACAAACAGATAAATAAAAGGGTGAAGGGAAGACAAAGTTATAAAAAAAATCAGAATTTAAAAAAAGGGTGGAAAATGAAATCTCCAAAACAGGCACTAAGAAAATTAAACTAGTATTCCACACTATGTTATTTACTACTGTGTTTCTCATATAATAAGGCCGAGTCTTATTTTTTTTTGAGCCCCGAAAAAATGGCTAGGCCATCTTTTGGGGGGTGACTTAATTCCTCCCCCCCTTGCATCTTTGGGCGGGCAGGTGGCGACGGCTTGGATGTTGACCTCGGCGTTGGTGAGGCACTTCGTATCGGGGTCAACGCAGGCAGCACCATATCTGGGTGTGCAACAAAAGTACTTCCTAACAGCAAGCCCCCCCACCATTCCCCACCATTTCGCATGTTTTAATATAGGCCTTAATTTTGGGGGGGGGAGGGGCTTAATTTCATTTCATGCCTATAAAACATGCTGGGACTTCCTATTGGGGGAGGACGTATTGTTGGAGAAACAGGGTATGTGTTTTGCTGATTGGATTAAATCAACCTTCTCAAAAGTAACATCTCAAATGTATTGGTCTGGTAGTTAACCATCATGGTGGTCCAAGATATCTTGAGGGCAACAAGATTGGAGAGAGCTAGAGAACTTATTTTCTTCAGAAGCTATTTTTCTTTTGTTGCTTGGCTACAGAAAAATCATTATGGAAAACTTGAGGGCTCATGGAGTTCACCCCCCCCCCCAAAAGGTATCATGTGCTGTTTTGGAAATTAAGCATTTTTAATTTAGTATACATTCCATATTTGACAAATGGGGCAGAGGACAAATGATTGTACAAGCCTCTTGTTATAGAACATGACACCTAATTTAAATTCTCCCTGCTTTTTTTTCCTGCTAGATTTGATATCCATCGTTCGTTGTGTGACCTTCTATGGTTTTTTTGCAATGCCATCATCTAGGTACAATTTCCAAATCTCATTAGGAATACAATTATTTTCGTATACACTTTCCAAGTTCATACCATCTCACTCCCAGACATTCTGATTATCTACCTAGAGCTTTAGAATATTATTTCTGTCATTGCTAGAGTGAGTCTTGTTGATAAAACAATGTAAGAGAGAAATTCTGGAAGATAAAATTGAGCAGCAACATATTTGCAACTAAATTTAACAGGCTTCATTGGCAATATTTGAAAATAGCATTGGAAAGTGATATTGTAAACTAGCTCCAAACAAGTTCTTTAGATCTTTTCAATTAGTTGCATTTACCTCTTGAGATTCCCAGAGTTCTCTTAGGTTCAGATGTGGCTTTCCATAGAGTGTAAATGTGTGGGGAAATTTGAGAATACTTTGGAATAGGTATTTTGTGTGCAATTTGAGGGTCAAGTAGTTACATGTGGTTTCTTCAGGCAGAACTATAAGGGAAAGCTGGCAGGAGGAACTCTTTCCAATTATTATACAAAGGAATGCAATTAAAATGATTTTGAACCAAATTAGGCTTTCTAAATTTTTATTTGATCATGTCATGGACCTGATCAAAGCCTCTTCTAATCCTAATTCACAAGCATGAACTAGCACTTCTCATTCAAGAAAAACAGAATAACAGAGTTGGAAGGGACCTTGGAAGTCTTCTGAACTGAAGAAGCTTCTTGGATGAGAAGTGAAACGTTTTCAAGGAAAAAAAAAAAACAAGAAAGCCCAGTTGCTTTTTGAAAGAAGCGCCTTTGGGATGAATTTGGATGTTAACTTAAAGCCTACCTCCAAATAAATCCAATGATGGGCCAGAAAGGTCACCGCTGAAAAGATAAATTCTTTTCGACAATCTAAGGAGGGATTTCCAGCCATGGATCCATTAGGCCATCTGCCTTACTACATGGATCATTACTCTGATGTGACTTCAGAAAGTAAGGGGGGAAAGGCTGGCTTCAACTTCAAAGTAATTCTCCCACCCCACCCCACAACACTTTTATATCCAACAGTTGACTTTGGTATGTAAGTCTATAAGGCAATCTGCTTGGCAAGAACATTCATAGGATGTTAACAGAAGGAATTTAAAAAAATGTGCCCTTATGTTGGTTTTAGCATGTTGTGCAGAGTCAAAATGATCTCCTCTAAGTGGTTCATTCTGAATGAATATTTTAAGCTTAGCAGGAGACAATTAGGCCATGCAACGAAATATGTACAACTGGAACTGATGGGTAATGGAGTTGGCATCAAAATACAAGAATGCCTGTTCTCATTTGAGTCCTCTTCCAAGTGTAAAATCCTAACTATTTAGCATTTGAATATGGAAAATTACAACTGATCTGCATGGAACTTGTGTACGCCAATGAGAATTTTGCATGCAATTATGTGTTTGATTTAACTTGGAAAGAAATCTCAGAGGGCAGTTTATCCCAAGCACCAGCCAGCTATATAACCACTGAGTTACTTTTCAGGGCTGGTTCAAGCTGATCTCTAGCATCATAGTTTACCAATCAGCAAAGGAAATATATGAACAGATTGTTGAATAATAGTTTTTCAACCCAGCTTGCATTACGGAAATAAAAATTCCTCTCTCGGTTTCAGTTCAAGCTCTCAATGGCAGGGACAGTTGAATAAATCTGGATAGCACTACTCAGAATTCCAAATGAACTAGATGGCAGGGCTGCTCTAAAGTGGCGCTTTTTTTAAACTCACAGTTAACTCGAGCGTGCAATTTTTGGGTCAAGTATTGTTCTTATGCAAAGGACTGTCATGCTGAACATGGGCCAAAGTGGTCTAATTTGTTCAGAATTGTTCCAAAATGCAGGACAGGAAACCATGGATGTAAATGGCAAGAAAGTTGATTTCAGTTGGAGATCAATCTTCCTAACAGAGCTGTTCAACAATAAAACAGATTGTTTTTAGGAAGTGGTAGACTCTCTTTTGCCGCAGAGGCTGTAAACAGAGGGTGAATGGCCATCTGTCAGGAATGCTATACTGAATATTCCTGGACTGGGTGAGTCTTGGACCAAATGATATCCGAACCTTTACTTTTATGACATGAACCTTAAATATCTGTCAATTTCCCCTTCTTTCTCCTGTCACTCAGAGATTATGTTTGCATTCATCCATTTCTTTTTTCAAACAGATATAGCTTATCATTTGTCCAAACACGGAACTGTGGTTAGTTTAAACTATCGTTATTTCAAACAATTTAGTTTCAGATTCTTATTTCCTTTTTTCTTTGGAAAAAAGAACAAACTATGGTTAGATGATGCAATCAACTTATTTTGATGACTTCTGTGCACCAAGTATAAACTGGAATGAGTAAAGGAAAAAGTCCCACAGACAAATAAAGGCAATGGAGGATCTTTCTGGGTGAGACTGTAAATGTTATAATATGTCACATTTCAAAACCAATTATCTAAGACTTAAGTGGAAAGAAAGTCAAAAATTCTCAAGAAAAAAACTAACTGAACTTCAGTCAACTTTTGTTCTTGTCTTTGATTTAATATCCGGTCAGTGGTAAGAGTTCTGGAGAACCTTCCTCATTATTTTCTAATGTTGCTTGATCTCATTAAGCACAAACACACACACACACACACAAACAAAAGTCAACCTATATTATTTATATTCTCCATTTCTTTATAGGCAACCTGAAGGAAGCAAATAGATCCTTTCAAACGTAAATCTCTTGGATCACATACCAGTACAATCAATGGAATATCTTTATGAAGTTTAAAAAAAGTGCAGCAACTTCACTGGGATCAAAAACAGGACTTGAAAAAAGTCAAGGCCTCTTGCATTTTCCATTGGACTCTTCCAAGACTACAGATCCAATTCCATGGAAGGAGGCCACATCTTATCTGAGGGCATGACAACGGAAATCCTCTCCACATAAAATGCACTCATGCAATGGCCCTCTGCATCTTGCCAACCATTCTCCTGTCAGGCATTATGCCTCTACCAAGATGTTTATCGCATTTGGACCAACTGTTGAAAGACATGTCACAATTCAGAATTTAAGGAAAATTGATCCAAATTCTGAAACTAACAGAAATATGTACGGATGAACTTTGATAGCCATGCAAACTTTCTTCTGTATGCCAAAAAAAAAAATGAGAGATGCTGTTACCATAATTGTATTGCATTGTTTGCTTCCCCAAAGGAATGAAATTCCATACAAACCTGGGCTTTTAAACTGATCCGGGCTGGGAAGGTGGTGGAGGGGGGAGTTACTCGCTGAAGCAGGGTGCTCGCTACGAAGCATCTGAGCCACCCGAGGCCCCATGGAATCATAGTCCGCATACGATAATGGAGCCCGTTGGTCACCGGGCGGAGAATAGAAACCATAATCGGGGATCCCTGGAGATACAGTGACTCTATCATTGCAGATACTAGATTGGTGCTGATTTTCAATATTAAAAATGTACTTTTTTTTTTACAGTTATAATCATCGAAACACAAGACAAATATTAAAAAGTAGTGTTTTGAAAACAGAATGGTTCATACATGTTCCCAATACCCTTGCTGTTTTTACTCAATTTTGCTGATAGAAAAATAAGACTGGGTATATAAAACAAGGAAACTCACCACCTGGTTTACTAGAAGCCTTTTTCCAGAGCAGGAAAAATGATGCATGAGAATGAAATATTGGCCCTACTGATTAAAATAATATGGAATACATTGCAATAGAGAACTGAAGGAAAAAGCTAATTAAAGCTAATTTTCAATGCCTGTGAAAATTTCCTTGTCCCTTGCCTACAGAAAATCTCCCATTTATCCACATATACAGATTCATATGAAATATGCATTTAGACATCCATAATATCCCTACCCAAAACATGTGCTTAAGTCAATGTGTGAACACAAACCTTTCTTAACCACATATAGTAAATATATCCTTCGCCTGATTTAGCTTACCTCGATTGCCCTGACGTTCTGGATTCTCCAAGACATCCTCTTTTAATGCTATATCATTTAGGCACTGCAGTTAGTTTACTATACTATCTCACAAACCACAGGAAGAGAACTTCTCCTTCTCAAGTCATACTTAGAACAGTAATGACCATTATTGCTTTAATAAGATGTGTCAGTTTAAGGTGCCTTCACCTTCAATCAATTGATTTGAGTCAGAGTAAAAAAAAGGGAAAGGTGAATTTTCTGAACCTGCATATAATCTCAAGATGGAGAACTTCTGAGAAAATAAATACATCAAGAACAAAAATCATAGATGAAGCTGAGCTCCTTTTTTATCTTAGAAAAAGGGAGAAAACACACTCTGGCCCAAAATGATAAATGCTACAATTTGGTCAGATTTCGGATATTTAATTTAAACTCAAAATGGTGCATGGGGTGTGTGTGTGTGTGTGTGTGTGGAATCTTAATTTTTGAAGAACAATTCTCAAGTAGTTTGTGAAATATACTTTTGCATAGACTTTAATGAAACAGGTTACCCGTTTATTCCCCGAGTTTAAGCAAATTTGTGATGCACAAGAATGGCTGATTATTTAACACCTGGATGGAAAATGTACACACTGCTATTGCTCTTGTAATCAGCAGTAGCAGCTGAAGAGCTTCTCTATGTAACTGCTGGGTAAGGACATCTGTTGGTTGAAGGTCAAGTATTGCCAATATTATTCAAAGTGTTGGCTATCGTTTATAAAGCCCTTCAGGACATAGGGCCAGATTATCTGAAGGACTAGCTCCCATACATTTAAGAGCCAACGAAGTGGGTAAGTTCTGGGTCCCCTTGATTTCAAGTTTCAACTTTGGGGACAGAGGAAATGTGCCTTCTCCATGGTGGTGCCAGGTGTAGAGACTAGGGAAATTGTCCTTGATGAAGATTTGTTTTTTTTTTGCCTAGGCAAAAAGAACAAAATCATTTTTAAGTCCAGAAAATGTTAGGAAGCTGCTTGAACAGGGCTTCCCTTATTCCCTGAAGGAGGAGGAGGAGGAGAAGGAGGAGAAGGCTAAATATAATCAGACTTGCAATATTCTGTTATTATAGCTAATCTCACTAAACCTCCCTGTGGAATTGATTTCATAGTCTGGTCAAGGCTGACATCTGTCCTCTGGAATAAGGTCCCCTTGATAGCTTTCTGGAACGCATTAAAAGTCCCGACCTTGAGGTAGGGTGATGAAGCCCCTCATTAGATATGTTTGTCAAATGCCATGTAATTTCCGGGATATGCAATTTTGTTCACTACAGTTTTTCTCCTTATTTTGTTGTAATTTGTGTTGTTCTCAGGGGTGGGATTCTACCGGTTTGCACCAATTCGCTAGAACCGGTCGTTAACATTCTAAGCAGTTCAGAGAACTGGTAATTTCTTCTAATTACTGGCCTAATCCTGTAAGAAAGGCAGGAAGGAAACATTCTGGGGTTGCTTACAGAAACTGCCTCTCCGTTAACCCTTATTACATTCTTAGCAGGACTAGACTTCCTGTCTCAGGAACCTCTCTGGAGTTCTTTCCCCTCCTTTGCTGGTACTTTGCTTGTGTGGAGTGACCATTCAAAGTTACAATGGCACTGAAAAAAAAGTGACTTATGACCATTTTTCACACTTACGACTGTTGCAGCATCCCCACAGTCATGAGAGGCCAGGCGAGGAGATGCGTGCCTCGATGTGAGTGATATCGAGCTGGCCACACCCAGCCAGTCACATGACCACCAAGTCATGCCCACCAACTAAGCCACGCCCACAGAACCGGTTGTTAAAAAAATTGAATGCCACCCCTGGTTGTTCTTATATAGTTAGCAGCCCAGTCATGTGATGTTGAAGTAAAAAAAAAAATCAAATGACAATCCTGGAAAGATCAGAACAGGGAAAAATACGTAATACGTTCTTTTGGTGGGGGGGGGGAGGGAAGTGAACAATTTGGAATAGTACTTCCTTTCTGCTTTCATTTAATTATGCTACTGAAACATTTCTCTTTTTCTAAATCCACGTTGTACTGTATTCAAAGGATGCATTGGCTTTATAATTTGTAAACAAGTCTCATAAATAGTTATTTAAATCTCATAAACACATGTACAAATAATTCCCATCTCCCATAAGTACATTTGAGTCAAAATTAACTAGTCAGAATTATTTCCATGCCAGCTTTTATATCAAGTAGTACCTTTTGGTCCTGCCTTATGTTCCTGAAAGAATTGACAGACTCGATTTCAACTATTTCTCTTTTCAATTGCATTAGCTCTTGGGACCACCAAATTGCTTATAGGTTGCTTTTTTAAGATCATGCTGCCACATGGGATATGTCTACTCAGATGGATGAAAATAATAGTCTCAACTGGGGAACTGTTTACATCTATAGACGACTCCTAGGGACCTCCAGGGGACACTTAAAAAGTGGGTGTTCCAATCTTAGCTCAGCACAAGCCTAACAAATAGAGATTGCATAGACACAACCTAAAATTTTCCCCTGCGTCTGCCCAACAAGTTAACTCTTCTGTCAGTAGTCATTATATGTAATTTTCACTGTCTGAATTCTGGTTTCCTCTGGAGTCTCCTTTTGAGGGATTGTCACAGAGAGGAGGGGGGGTCAATTCTCCAAAGCACCTGAGGGCAGAATGAGAAGTAATAGGTGGAAGATCATTAAAAAGAGATCCAGCCTAGAATTAAGGAAAAACTTCTTGGCAGTGAGAACAATCAGTGGAATAATTTGCCTTCAGAAGTTGTGGGTGCTCCATCACTGGAGGTTTTCAAGAAGGCACTGGACAACCACTTGTTCAGAATAGTATAGGGACTAGAAGGTCTGTTCCAACTCTGTTATTGAATATTCTAGTAGCTTCCTTTTCCCTATCACCAATGGAAACATGCACGCACACGACTGTGCAAGTGATTTGCTCAAAAGAGGAATGTGAAGCCCCTGGACCACTGCTGGAGGACAAAGCAAGATTGAGGAAGACCCCATATTGTTGTAATGCTTTTTGGCAAGGAAGACCACACTGACAACAAGCTGCTGACATAGCTCTCAGTCTCTGAATCTCTCCTCACACTTGCCATAAGCAACCACATGCAATTTGGCAGCCTTTGCACCATCAGTGTTTATGATAATAGCCATGTGTGCTTGAAAGCAGCAGGAAATTTTCAATATAACTATCATTAAGACAAAATGTTTTAAATCAAAGCCATTACTGGTACTGAGAGTTAAAGCTCACAAGATTAGGCTGCTTTTTATCTTTATGAAAAATTCATAGAACAAGCTGCCAAACAACATCTTCTTGCTCGAGAGAGTAAATGATATAATAATATTTAATGCTGCCGATACAGATGAAAGTGGAGGCATAAGTTGCATGCTGTAATGTGTACATCAGGGAGACTATGTTGAACAAGGAGCTCTGACACTTAGCACATGTAATGTTGGGTAGACAAGCAAGTGGGAAGTCTGCTGTTGCCTTCCCCAACTTTTAGACTTCAAAGATCAGCGGCTGCTCTTCACTTCCCTTGCAATTTGGTTGCAAATGTACAGCTGCAGTGCAAAGGTGGAACTAAATTCTCCAGGGCTTATTCAGAAAATAGAATGTAAGAAACACTGAAGCACTTGAACAAAAAGCACCCCAAACACATGCGGCTTTGTTGGCCAAGAACTAGGGGTTTTCACAGAGCCCTGTAGACCAGGCATCCAAGGCCTTCAACTGTTTGGAGGGGAAAATACATATCAATTTAAGCCATGCTACCAAAATACAGGTAGTTCTCATTTAGTGACTGAAAATTATTCCAGCAACTTGGTTGTTAAACAAAATGGTCACTAAATGAACACATAACTGACAGAGAAAGAGGGAGAGAAAGAGAAAAAATCCTGCAAAGATCACTGACTGGTGTTTTATCATCCAGATGCTTCCCTGAAAAGTGCTAACCACAAGTTAACAAGCTCAGCTTTGTGACCTTAATTAGGTTAGAACCTTCCTCCGGACGTGCAGCTGCTGCCTGAAACAGACCAGACCTTAACCAGTTTCACATTGAAGGCTTTTGTTGTGCATTTGTTGGAAAATAAATTGTTTATTATCATATTTGCAAACTGTCCTTTTTTGAAGCAGTGGCTAAACAAAGATTACAAGTTAGTACCTTGTTGATCTTTGATGTCCTTTCCACTGGCTGTCTCTGAACTCCTTTAGTGGCACTTTATTGTTGAGGAAGCTCTGACACTGCTTCTTTGTGGATGTGATAGGTTGCTAACAAAGTCAAAGGGGAGTGGTCATTATCACTGTTGTCTTAAGGAAATGATGAACTCCAGGAACTGAGCTACCTCCCCACTCAAATCTTTGGCTTGCTTGTGAGCAACACTACAAGCTCACTGTACCACAGGGCAGAAAAGAAATCTATAAATATGTATCATCATACATTATTCTGCATGTAAGC